AGTAATTTACAGAAAATATTATTTAAAAAAATGCTATTTGTGCTAATACTTTTTTTCGTCACTGTATATGTATGTATATATATATATATATAATATATACATATGCATATATAACTTTATTCAACTGCAATTGCGAGATCGAAAACGGAAAGGACTACGTTTACCCCGTTAACTCTCTGCACCACATCCTTTTTGTGTATTAATAGGAATTAAACGCTTCAATTGTAATATTAAAGCATTCTTCTAAGTGTAGATCATGTGTGAGTGGTGCGACTAAATCAAAAAATAATTGAGGCAGTACGTATACTTTCCTAGCTAGATCCTAGGAAATTTATTATAAATAATCACATTCTCATACTTCTTCTTTCCTTTTTTTTTTTTTTTTTTTGTATTCGTTTACTGTACATACTCTTCGATATTCTGTATGGCTCATTTGATATCTTCAAAAATAACAGCTTTAGCACCGCCTTCTTTAGTTTCCAACTATGCATGTATGTATTTATTATACGTATTAGGAAATCACTTTTCCTCGTCTCGCTTATAGTTCTTTTCTTTTCTTCTTTTTTTTAATATTATTAATTTATTATTATTGATAGAACAGAAAGAAAAAAAGAAGTATTGAATCAACAAGAGTAAATTAAAAACGATCATCATCATCGTCATTATCATCAAACGAAATCTTACATTATTAACACTTGTTTTTCCTTTTATCTTTGTTTCTCTTTTTTTACTGTTGTCTTGTTTTGTTTTAACGTACATGAATTTTTTATCTTTTCTCTTAATTCTTTTATATATATATATATGTATAAGAGATATTTCATATTTCTTTGCATCATTGACCATCGCGATCGTACAACAAAAGTATATGTACTTTTTCTATACACATATTTTCAATGATCTTCGATACGTTCCACTTTACGTCTATTTTTATTCTTATTTCTTTGCTTATCCCAAGCACAAGCCCAGCCATATTGAATTTTTAGCCCGATCTTGTTCTTCGACGTTATGAATCCACTCTCAATTCATTTTCAAATTCGTCCCATCTATTGTCCGTCGTCGACGAACGGTTTATTTCTTTTTTTGTTTTTCGTTTGTTTGGTTTATTTTTGAGCATAACAGAACGTAACAGAGTACTACTGAGGGTCCGTCAAGGAACGACCTCATTTTTTAACGATTCTCGTATATATATATATTATAACTGTTTTCATTTTAAAAAAAAATAAAACAAAAAGAATCTATAAAGAACAATTAGACATCGTACGTACGCACGCGAATATTATTATTATTTGTAAAAACCCAACAACCAATCGTTGTATCCGATTATTTCATTTCTTTTTTTCTTTTTTTTTTTTAAACGCACATTTACGTTAACATTAAATATATAATGTGGATGACGAAGAGAACAAAAAATATAATTACAGAAAAAATTTAGCAATTCATTATCAAAGCGTTGTATTTTCTTTTCTTTTTCTAAATAAAACTAGCACCATGTGAAGATAGAAAATAAAAATGAAAATTAAAAAGAAAAAAAAAAGAAGAAAAAAAAAAAGAAATAAAAACAAAAAATAATAAGAACGAAACAAATATGATCAATCACATAGTTACGAACTAAATAAGAGTATTTCTCATATTTTAATTATTATATATTCACAGAAAAATTCTCCGAATAGAGAATCTGATCGCCGCACTACATATTATTTTCCTATCTTGAAGAGGATTATACTTCCGGACGTAGTATAATCTTACAAGTTTTATAAAATTAAATATAAAAAGTGAAGCTAATATTTGAGCACACAGTATGAAAATAAGTTTTCACTTGTAAAATACGATTTTCGATAGTAAGAATGTCGTTCGATGCTTAGAAGGACCTAAGTTGCTCCTGTTACACAAGCACGATGAATCCTGTTAACCAGTCGAATCAGAATTTTGCCCTGGGCTTTTTCAAAACACGGACATTCACACGGTGTACGATATACGCTTACATATTCATATATACATATATCATATACATAACTATATGTATATATATATGCATGCTATGGTACACATATATATTCTATATCCTATGAAATGTTTTGTGGCTTAGCTGGGCCACGTAATGGAAAGGAGGCGATGATATAACAATGCGTGTCCGTTATCTGATCTAATCGCAAGGAGTGCTTTCAGCTTTGATCTTGCGACAGTGCACCATATTTATTCCCGAGAGAAAGTTTAGGTGTTTGAGCTTGAGATTCTTGCATACTGTAAGATCTGCTCCCACCACGATTGCGAACCTCTTCGAATATACCTTCTTCTCGTTTCCTATACATATATAGTTGCGTTATTTTACATTAGAATAAGTAACATTCATTAAATTATAGCTTATTGAGTTTTAAATTAATTCTTTCCTTTCGTAAAAATTGCTCAACATCAATGAATTTATATATATATATATATACATAAATATACCGTTATTCGAAATTACTTTCCGTCGTAGCTAATATATATATCGTTAATAAATTATTACGTGAAGGGGACTCTTAATTCTACAGATTAAGAGTCTGGTGTTTATTAATTGTTTATATTTTATATGTACAGTATATAAGAATGTATGCAGAATTTAATAAAATAATTTCTAGTTTATGAATATAACAGTTAAAGTAAACCAACAGTCAGTTATCTGGAACTTTGATGAGAAAGAATTAAAATAATTGATTTTAGTTTAGGTAAGTTAATGAATCTTTACCGTCGTCCCCATGGACCAGTGGGTTCATTGCTCTGCGGCTTGGAACTCAATGTTGGGAAATATTCTTCGCTATGAATATCAGGTGCAGCATTTTTAGCTCGTGATCTTGGAGCAGAAGAAGTCATTGCTGTAGGATTTCTCAAATGGGGAGGTACATAACTGCTGTGCATCGAAGTTGGAGTTGCTGGTACAGCAGCGGCTGGAGCTGTTACAACTTCTACTACTTCTTGTTGTTGTTGTTGTGGCACCTCTGGTTTTTTCCATGGTCCACTTTTGGCCACATTCTCTCCAGTTTCACCATCAGAACTATTGTCACCGGTTTCTCTTTCATCATCAGATTCCACGTCAACAGTCTCTTTTACAGAAAGGTTTCCAATTTTCAAACCTCTCAGATCTTTCTTTTCTTCTATCTCGAATTCTTTCCATTCATCTTCATCCTAAAATAAAATATCTTCTTGGAGAAATTCTATAAGAAATATTGGGAAATATAATATGCAACTAAAAGTATTGCATAAATATTAAGCTGCAATATTATTGTACAACATTATGCAAAAAAGAGTTAGGAGACACGTGTATACACGGATACGAATATAATACTTAAATAATATTCGTAAAATAAACAATCATATAAGCCGATAATAAAAAAAGGAAAAAAAACTATAAAGAATAAAAGAAATTATATGTATAAATATATATACATATGTATATGCATATGTATATGCATATATCTATACATATAAAAAAAGATACGAGCTATCAATTGTCGATCACAAAAAAATATTCCTGGATTGCATCGAAATCGATTAGAAAATGTAAATGTTAATCATTGAAAGTCGGCTTGTTGAAATGTTACGTGCCGGACTTTATCGTTCCAACTGTTATATAATATCATCGATTCGATTTCCTTTCGAGTAACATTAAGTTAGAAATAACTTGAATAATATCTTCCCGGCGTACTAAAATTCAAGAAAGCCGATTTAATTTTATAGGCAGGTTCGTAAGAAACTGAAGTGACGTTTGCACGAGCAAACATGGCAGCGACCAGTGTCCTCTTAGCCTGGTTCTTTCCCATAAACGGAGAGTATAATGTCTAATAACCAAAAGTCTCTAATTTTATCATTTCTTTTATAATATTATCAATAAATCACATCCAAAAATGATCACCTCTATTTGTTGAGGTTCCTCGCCTTCGGGATTAGTCGGTTTTTCCTTTGGCTTCATTTTTTCCGTCCGTTTACCCGTTTCTTCTAATTTTTTCGCAACCTCCTCGGTCGTGGTAAACTTTTTACCTTTGGCTTTCTTCCGATCCTTTTTCGCAAAAAAATCGTCTAAATCCGCCATGATTTCTTGTTCTTTTTTATTTCTTTTAAACAAAAAGATCCTCCCCCGTTAAACTCTTTACCGAGTGAACTTTGGAAATGAAAATATATTATAACGGGGGGTAGAAAACGAGATACTACACGAGGCACGGTCGAAACGCGTACTGAACTCAGGGCACCCCTGCTGCCGTCCACATGGGCTTGTCTTAACCGGAAGTTAGTCAACGACTCAACTCAATTATCTTTCTCTCATTTACATTCGAATATAATATTTATTTATTTAATTAATAAATCACGATCTTAAAAATAATTCAATTGTATTTATAATATTAATATAATCTCGACGTTTTGTTATTTTATTTGTTAATATTTTCAATCATATTAAAAATTTTTCAACGATCCAAACGAAAGGTGGTGCCATCTATCTAGCAGAAGACCCTTGCAAAAAATACATGGATTACTTAACCTAAAAATCATCTTGCATACGTTATACTTAATTACATTTCAATTCTGCTTACATTATTTTTTATAGATTTTTAAAAATTAATATCTCTCGATTCATGTTTTATTTTATTTTGTAAAAGATTATTAGAAACATATGTGTACTTGGTAATACGAGAACGACTTGGAGGTTAATTATTCCTCTTTCTGATCGATGGTAGATGGCATTGTTAGTCGAATCGTCACTTCCGCATTACGAGCACGACACTCGCGCATTACTGCACTCGATGTTACAGAACATGGATAGATTGAATTACATTAAAGTCGATTTAAATATATCGTTATTCGATCCATTTTCTGATATTGTGCGACGCCCCTCTACCATTCTTCTTTCATTTATAAATAATTTTTATCTATAGAAACACATTTTTTTATAAGTTCTTTAAAAACACACGAACATATTTTTACCTTATTAAATATAAATAAACAAATGTATGTTATAACGTTAATTGCATTTTATATATATATATATAAAATATTCATATCTTCAATTATTTAAGATATAAAATAATATTGAAAATAAATAAAACAATAATGTGTGCCGAGAGAATTCATGAAAGTTTGTTAAAAGCGATTCAAATTTCCCGCCTATCGGTGGTCACCTCGCCATGACCGTATCAACTCGTCGTACAGATTGCGCAGTCGCTCTGATGGTATATCAAAAAAGAAAAAGAAAAAAGAAAAAAGAAAAAGGTGGAGTGTGTGGAACTGTTGGTAAGAAAGTGTAGGAAGCCTCTCTCTAGAAAGGCAGCTCACTGGCTTCTAGTTTTAGTACGAATAATACGTTCGAACGGCAATATTATTATTACTATACAATAATAGTATAAATTGAGACGACGAATTAGAAAGAAATAAAAAAACAAATACATAAAAAGAAAAGAAAATATATTTCGTACTATATTGTTATAATTAACAAAAACAAAACAAAAAAAAAAGGAAAAAAAAAATTAATAAAGCAAACGAAGTGTTGTGTTTTATTAAAGCGTATAATAGCAATTATTTATTAGCGTTTATTTTTACGAGGGAACGAAGAAAGGTAGAAAAAGAGAGAGAGAGAGAGAGAAAGAGTGAATAAGCGAGCGAGTGAGTAAATGTGCGAGTTGTAAGAGGGGGAAATAGTGACAAGGAAGGAGGGACGAGGGGTGAGGAGGGTGGTAAAGGAAGAGAAGAGTAAAGAGGCCGTGTGCGCGCGAGACAACGTCCAAACGACGCGCGCGTCACGTTACGAACGTTACTAAACACGAGCACCAGTATTTGTATCCCTGGTATAAAGTTAATGTGTTACAAAGAGCAACGAAATGAAGCTAACTCGAAAGTGTTTCGGGAACATCACCAAGATGTTGGACTTCTACTCGCAATTCAACCCCTCGCCGCTTTCGATAAAGCAGTTCATCGATTTCGGTGAGAGTTTGTATATCTACTTGTATATCTACTCTTACATATTCTTACGTACTATTACACATACATACACTTCCTTGTCAAAAGACATTGACAAAGGTAGAAACAAAGAGACAGAGATCTTTAAACGTATATCCATTGTTTTAATATTCAATCAAATATTCAAATTTATTCCAAAGCTTTTCGATTCGAATTATTTTCTTTTAATTTAGAATGTTTTTGAATTTGTTTGTTTGTTTGTTTTTTTCTTGCCAATTTCTTTTCTTTTCTTTTTTAATCATTTTTCCAGAGTTCGTTGGCAGAAACGACGACCACCCGAAGGTTAACGTTCGACCTTTCTCAATTTTTTTTTTTCTACATCATCCCCTCCCTTATTTCCACCCCTTCTTCTCCTAATCCTACTCCTTCTCTCAATACACACCCCAATCCTTCTTCTTTCCTTACCTCACCTTCTATGACCAAATCCTAATCCAATGTTCGATAGTCGTATTATCAGAAAATGTACTTTCTACTTCGATAATACTACTACTACTACTACTACTACTACTACTACTACTACTACTACTACTACTACTACTACTACTACTACTACTACTACTACTAATACTACTACTACTACTACTACTGTTCGTTGAAATAGTTCTACTCTTGCTTTTATATTCACGTATTTATTTACTTGTATGCTGCATTCGTGTGTTTAAAGAGGACAGCATAAGGTTGTTTAATAGGTACCCTTTAAAGCTTAACTGCAAGAGAATCTCTCGATAATGCAACTATATAATTTATGTGATTATTTTTATTAATTTTATTATGAATTAAATAGAAAAATACAGGAGTAACGTGACATCGATAACGGAAATGATAATCAAGTTTATGTACTTATCTAAAAAAACAAAAATATAGTAACAGTTATACATATGTAATATATGAACAGATAAAAAAAATAAACTTGTGACAACGTTCCCGCGTAATTTCCTATTTGAAATTATAATTAATAATTTAAATTGTAAATTGCCACTTTTATAATTCTCATCAAATTCGAAATTGATTGCGTATAACTTGGCTAGAGAAACTGAAAGACTGAGAGAGAGAGAGAGAGAGAGAGAGAGAGAGAGAGAGAGAGAGAGTGAGATAGAGAGAGAGAGAGAGAAAGAAACGATAGTCAGATACGATGACGACGATGATGTTTATTTCTTTCGATGTAAACAATCTCTTTAACCGGTTTCTTTTCTAGATAAAGTGTTTGTAAAACGTGGTGGTTCATTTCGTATTCCATGTGAGACATTTTCTACTAGGAATACTAAACGAATAAGGAGAATACTTTCGGTTAACTATTTTGTTAAAGAACACAGTCATCTATAGTTAATATCTACTAGTCATTATTTTATACTTCTAACAGAAAACGTTTTTATCGATTTGCAACAACTTGAGAATTATTTATTACGAAACTTTACGTTGTCGAATGTTTTTCTTTGAAAATTTTTCTAAAACATTTATCATAATATATACTTTCATTTCGTATTTTTTTCCCATTATTATTACGAGTTTAATTTCGTCAACTTTTAGGTTGCATTAAATTAACTGATTAAAACATTAATGAATAAGGGATTGTGTATACGGGTCGGATTAAAGTACCAGGTGTGAAGTTAATTATCTTTTAAGAGACAAGATAAATACACAAAGTAGACTATGTATATTTAATTAAGAGGAATTAATAGTAAATTAAATTTCGTTGCTAGAATTAGAAATTAAAAGGTCGAAGGTTTTATAAACGGGGGAAAAAAGAAAAAAGATTTTTATACATATTATCGTGACAAATTTTCTACGAGTTCATCTTATAACGTTCTTTCATTTTATTTGGATAAGTTTTAACTTTATAATAAATAAATCATAAATACTATTATATATCGTGAAATAAAAATAAAGAATTTTAAATAAAACATTATTCTCGGTTGAAAGAAATTTGAGGAAAAAAAAAATAAGGAAAAGAGAGAGAGAGAGAGAGAGAGAGAGAGAGAGAGAGAGAGAGAGAGAGAGAGAATTCTTATCGTATAGTAAACTACTTATCTCTCCCGTTGTTTGTGATTATTATTTAGTTTCTTTTTGTTTCCTATAAGATACTTTAATAAATATTAGTATGACCTAATATTAATTTTATCTTATTTACAATAATATTAATAAAAAGTATATCGTAAAGAGAACGGACCCTTTAAAAATTCATATTAAAAGGAAAAATAATTATAAACTAAACAGTACAAAAATATATTTTAATAATAGCTATAGATTAAAAGTGAAAAACAATATTATTTATTAATCATATTCAAAAAATGATGAATAAATTTTTATATTTGAAACGTTTCGAACATTAATTTCGCTAAATCTTGTTCACTGACCTATCTCTTTGGAAATATTCCTTATTTTTATTCGAAGTTGCGCCTTAAGGCAGGGATCAACGAACCGTGAAATTGATTTGTTGTTTTTAGCTCCTCTTCCATATATATATATATATATATATATTTTTTTTTTTGATAAGCATTGAAAGATGAACGATGATACATAATTCTGACTTTCATTACGGTGTTCAAGTTGTGTAAGAGGTAATACATGAGGTATGTCCGATATTGTATTTCTTTGGATTTTGCGATCATGTTTCTTATTTTCTATTTTAAAAAGGATGATATTTTATAACGCAATTTGTATTTAAATTTTATCCGAATACGGATTATAAAAGAAATCTGAAAAATATCATCATTAGTAATACATTTGATAAGACTGTAATTATCTGTAACGTTAATGATCTTTTCTAAATGAATTGATTTTAAATAATTTGTTTATTCGAATGTATATCAAGGAGATATCCTTAAAGTATAATTAATCGTAATAAAGAAAAAAAAAAAGAAAATAGAATTATTTTTGAACGTTGATAACACATTCCACTTAAGGATTATTATTACTATTAATATTATCGACTTTATTTTCGAAATATCTTTTGTTTCAACGTTGAAATATATTATTCAAGAAATTAGCTATGTTATACTTTGCGTGTTTTTAACGTGACGTTATGAAATATACGATATTAATGTTTCGATGATCGTATCGAATCATACGAGAGATTCGCAATTACGTGACTCCGTTTGCTTCATTGATATTTAATGATCTTGACATTTGACTGACTTAAATGATTAAAACCTCGACCTTTCTTTCTGTTTCTTTTTTTTCTCTCTCTTTTTTCTTTGTTTTTTCGTTAACAATAATTTATCTTTACTCGTAAAAGAAATTTTTCATTTGCATATTTAAAAAAATCTATTCTATTTGTTTGTTTTAAAATTGTTTAATTATATATTTTGTAAAAGTTAAAACCAAGTGATATGACACGTTGCGGTTTTTATAAAATAAAGTTGACAAAACGTCACCTTACTGTCATTTATTTCTACTGAAAAGATATTTATTTGTCGTGTAAACATTTTAACGTTTACATAAAATCAACACTGACCGATGACCGAACGAACGTGCGATGGTCGTTAATGCACGTACTGATGTGAAACACCCTGTTTAATCTTCGACCTTGTATTTATCGTCCGATCATTATTATCTTACATTAGTTATTATTTCTAAATCCATAGGACGCGACAATTCTAAATAATATAATTATCTATTATTAAAAATATATATTTTTCTCAATAAAAAAAATATTTCGATCAACGTCATTAAAATTCGTATAAGGAATATTAGTCCTTTCGTTTAATTGAAAAGAAATTCTAATTATTCGTTGATTTAAAAGAAAGAAAAAAGTACGTGGTTTTTTTGTAACTATTAGATTTTTTACAATTAAATATTACATCATGAAGTCTTCGATGATGTTAACAAAAATTCGTATTAAGTATAAAAGACAAATTGTAAAATACAATTATATAAATGTCACGTTTCCAATGAAATATTATATTAAAAAAAATTTGAAAAGATCCATTAATTTTTAATTGCTTTTTTTTTCAAATCAGATAAAAAATGTTTCCATTAAAGTATGAAAGAAAGTCAATCGTGGAAAAGGAAATATCTATGAAGAAACCTTGAAATAGGTTTCAGGTTTAAGGACACAGGAATATGTTTGCCGTTCGCTTGTCTAGTGGGTCAGGGTCGACCAATCAGTAGCCGTGTTCATGTACCATCCCCCTTATTCTGGCTTTTCCATTGGCATTACGTCGACATCTCGCAAATATAGAAACGAAAGACACGCGTAATCATTGCACGTCTTTGTGATCTGGACATTTGCCATGTTGCTTGCTCGGTAAACTTCGGAATTCGTATGAACTCGTCTTCTTAAAAAATTCTTCGAATTATTTACTGTAAATAAGAGTTAAATAACACCTACGGCTTTGACGTTTGTTTATTAGTATATATATACATTCGTATATATTTACATATTTATATATGTATGTATGTATGTATGTATGTATGTATTTATGGATGTATACGTATGTATTTATGTATGATATGTGCTCTTATAAACCAAGTTGTAATCTTTTTACCGTGGTATTCTTCTATCTTTCTTTTATATGGAAATTTTCTTAAGAGTTGCAAGAAGTTTCCTTTCGTGATCAGACTTTATAACTTTTTGAGAATAGAATAAATAAGTAAAAATGATCAGAGTTAAATATTACAGAGTAGATACAAAATTTTTATACATAAATATATATCTTCTCTATCTATTAACATTATATTAATATTATTTGAATTTTAATATACTTAAATG